TACTCAAAGCGGGAGAGTTTACTCAAAGTGGTTGAGGTCGCAGGAAATATAACTTGGTTCTGCTGCAAAGTCGGCAAATTTGCATGGTTAAAGAGCGTTTGAGCATGGGTTAAATTTGGCAATGCCAAGAAGCAGTTTCTTACCTTTTATCATGTAAAAATTGTTTTACTGAACTAAAACTAAAATAGTTTTACCAGAGCTAAAAAGGAAATTATCATACTAGGCCTTTACGACACTGAAAAGGGAAAACATAAATTTATACTTTAAAAGGTAGCCAGGGAACAGTTTCCAACACTTTTCAGCAGTTATCCTTCGACGGATCAATACTACCACACTTTATTAAGCGATCGGTTGCAATATTGGTATAACAAAAATACCCAGTCATGGTTAAACAAGTTGTGGCCATCTTCATGGCATAACCAACGATACCACCTGATAAAAATTCAAAAACAGTTCGGTGAAAACCTTTTTTTTTTTGGTCGAATTGTGATTACCATATGAAGATACCAGGTTTTGCAAATTTTCAAACACTTCTGTAAGACGGATTCAGAGCTATTTGAAATTTTCGAAAATTTAAGGTGACTTAGCTTAGCATGAGAGATGGACTTAGTTGTTTGGCATTTTAGAGTCCGAAGAAACAGCAGGACAAAATGAAGAAGGGCAAGGCAAGACATCACAAGGAACAGAAGGAGCTGAAACGAAAGGAGGTGCATGTGGAACAACTGCTGATGAAATACCAGGTACATTGGTGAAACTGTCGACAAACATTTAGTATACAATAATAAGAATAAATTGATTAAGTACATTCTACTGCAACCTTAACCTCAGTCAGTTTTATGCGGGCGTGTTTGAAACACGAAATGGTGAAATTACGAAATAGCACTACGGGAAAGAATCAATGTGGGATACGGAAGCGTCTGTAAGGGTTAACCCTTACAATCATCGAGAGCTAACCACTGTCGAGTCGATGATATTTTAACTAACCTGAGCGCTGTTTATAGGCTAACCGGAGCGTTATTTAGTCTAATCGCAGTGCCATTTCGTGTTTTAAACACGCCCGTTTAATGCCTAGTAAGGTTGTAAATTCAACGAAATGTTTCTGGCACTACTGAAGAAAACTACCTGTTTTGAAGGCGGTGGAAGTAAGTTCGCCCACTGTCATTTATTGACTTTACTTATTTTGGATAGAAAATTGAGCGAAGTGGCTTGGCAGTTACGTTGTTACGCGTAAAACGGAAGTTGACGATGTTTAAAAAAGTTGACGATTATTTCAGTTTTCCTTGATGACTATGTGTTTTCTTGATTCAAGACGACAGTACTAAGGAGGAGAGGCGAGACCACAGAGGCCGGCTAAGAGGAAAGCAGCGCGAATTAGGAAGAAAAGGCCGATATCAGAAACGAGGTCCTGGAAGAGAAGAGACTAGTCCAGGTAAACGTAAAATGCAGATTGAATCAAGTTATGTTGGCTTATGAGCGCGCGAGAGGGTGTTTCAGTGGGTATGCATGTGAAAGGAGTCAATTTCGTAGCAGAGGATGAACAATACAAACGAAAGTGATCGTCTTAACCACACTTCTAAGGAGCATAATGTTTCCTACTTAACTCAATCGTTCCTCCTTCAGGTTCCTCCAGGTTTTGCAAATACTGTATCGAGATAGCAGTCAATGAGGGCGGTGAAAAACAAAAACAAGATGTAATTCTCTTCATTATCAGTATNTAACCTGAGCGCTGTTTATAACCGGCTAACCGGAGCGTTATTTAGTCTAATCGCAGTGCCATTTCGTGTTTTAAACACGCCCGTTTAATGCCTAGTAAGGTTGTAAATTCAACGAAATGTCTCTGGCAAAACTACCTGTTTTGAAGGCGGTGGAAGTAAGTTCGCCCACCGGCATTTATTGACTTGACTTATTTTGGATAGAAAATTGAGCGAAGTGGCTTGGCAGTTACGTTGTTACGCGGAAAACAGAAGCTGACGATTATTTCAGTTTTCCTAAATGACTATGTGTTTTCTTGATTCAAGATGACAGTGCTAAGGAGGAGAGGCGAGACCACAGAGGCCGGCTAAGAGGAAAGCAGCGCGAATTAGGACGAAAAGGCCGACATCAGAAACGAGGTCATGGAAGGGAAGAGACTAGTCCAGGTAAATTAAACGTAAAATGCAGATTGAATCAAGTTATGTTGGCTTACGAGCGCGCGAGAGGGTGTTTCAGTGGGTGTGCATGTGAAAAGAGTCAATTTTGTAACAGAGAATGAACAATACAAAGGAAAGTGATCGTCTTAACCACACTTCTAAGGAACATAATGTTTCCTACTTAACTCAATCGTTCCTCCTTCAGGTTCCTCCAGGTTGTGCAAATACTGTATCGAGATAGCAGTCAATGAGGGCGATGAAAAACGAAAACAAGATGTAATTCTCTTCATTATCAGTATAATGACAGGCTGACGATCGGTGTGCTTTTGGAAAGATGCCACATTGAAATCTCTTAACACTAAACTTAGGGGAGCAGGGATGGTGTAATGGTGAAAGCGTTCCCCTTCCACCAATGTGGCCTGGGTTCGACCCTGGCTCGATGCTGTGTGGATTCAGTTTGTTGTTGGTTCTCACCTTTCTCCGAGGGTTTATCTCCGGGTATTAGGTTTTCTCCTCTCCAGAAAAAGCCAATATTTCCAAATTCCAATTCCTTTCTAAATATTGTAATATTTTTTTGCGGAAAGGTTGCTTTGTCAAGATGTTGATTTCTTCATGTCAACTCTTGGTGACGTAACGATACTTTCTGAAATTTGTAATTGTAATTGTAATTGTAATTATTGTGTAAAATTGAACACTCCTCGACCCAATCAATGTTAACATAGCCTGAAGCTACAAAGGAACCAAAGGAAGGAGGCACACGAAAGACAACAGCAGACGGAAGTCAATTCCCAGCGTCACAAGATGCAGAAGGCAAAGCTCAAGGTCGGTGACTTGTTCTGATTTTAGGATAGAGACTCTTGACATGTCTCTATGTTCAATAAATAAGTTGGATATTAGATGTTACCCTCCACGGAAACAGAGAATGGCTTTAGTTTAGTCACCACACCACGTCAAATTGATGTATTACTCCAGCCAGCATCCCCTTGGTTACACTGAAAAATGCTGCCTTTATATAATAAAGGATACGAGAATTGAACTTTCAGCTACAGGGAAAGAGAAAAGTTGGATGGCCAAGGAACAACTGGAAGCGGTCCATGCTGCAGGAGTTGCAAAGAGTGGGCTACTTTTGAGAGAGAGCCAGAGCCAGAGCCCTATGCTTCCCCGAGGATGATAAAGGATAATGGTGATTACAGACAACTCCCAATCACCCAAACAGACATCAGTTAAATTGCTATTGTTAACAAAAATTATTGGTATTGAAATAGCGTGTTGAATCCCGTGTACTGATTAGAGTATTCTATTTATAACAATTTGTCGTTTATTGTAGGTGCGAACTTTGACAAACAGAACAACCAAGCTCATGGAGGACGCGGGAGAGGAGCATCATGGGAACAGCAAAAAGGTCGAGGGCCGTCGTCACGGGGAAGAGGAGAACCTTCAGGTGAATATAAAAACGCAAAATAGCCGCAAGTAATCATTATTAGTTTGAATTCAGTTGGGGAGGGGGGAGAGAAATCTTTGTAGGAGCACTCCTGTCGAAGTGTTGTTATCTCTTTTCTTTAATCGAATCTTCATCAGTTCCGCTTCTCCGTATGGAAAGTGGGGCCAGAAATTTTACTTCTCCAAGATACTCTGTCAACCGCCGCCAGCCCTGCCTCCACCCAAGAACGGTAAACCCATCGTCATTTGCTCTTTCTCCACTGTCCTACGCCATATTTCTCTGGGTCTTCCTCTCTTGCGTTTTCCCTCCGGGGCCCACGTCAGTGCAACTCGTGGGAGGGAACTGTTATCCATTCGTAGCACATGTCCAATCCATGTCCACCTCCTTCTCTTTACTTCTTCGCTGATAGTTTCCATGTTAGCTCTCTTGCGCACCTTTTCATTTGACACTCGCATAGGCCAATAGATCTCTAAAAGCCTACTCAGGCACTTGTGCTGGAAAGTATTTAGTTTGGCCTCATCCCCCTTTGTCATCCTCCACGATTCACATCTGTACAGCAACATAGCTATTACGTTGGACTTGAATATTCTTATCTTAGTACTCTTACTCAGTTGGCTGCTTTTCCAGATATTCATCAGTTTACAAAACGCTGCTCTTGCTTTTCCCAGTCTGCATCTGCTCCACCAGAGGTAGTAACTTTGGCTCCCAAATNCACTATCACCCACTGAATCGTCGTCAACCGACAAAAGGAAACAGGCACCATGCTCTTGAATGCCACTTGTTAGCTGTGTTTAGAAGATGCAGCAAAATGATTTCCAAGTCACTGCCGGAAATTCACGAGACGTTGGACGCGGTGTCTTACACTGTACGTCCATTGTGCAGCAAACGATCATTATAATGTCCATTGTCTGATATAAAACCTAGGGAGGTTCTCATTCGATGTGCTTAGCAAAATCAGCGCGATCAAGGATGCTTTCAAAGCACCACCACATGACGCAAAGCTTCAAAGAGCGCGCAGATTTTTAAGAATTCTTTAGACGCTACAGGTTCGTAGAAATTATTGCGGGCAATATCTGTATCAAATTTGCCATCCGAAAATCTTTTAGAAAGATTGCAATCATAAAGTTCCGAAACTACACTGCATAACATGACGTATCTCTGATCTGTTGAGTAGCACATAACATCACATGTACACTATGAAGAGCACTTGGTATGGATCACTGATATCCCTGTGGAAGTAGCTGGGCCTAGTTGTTCGAAAGGTGGTTAACGCTAACCCAGGATTAAAAGTTACCCAAAGTGTTAATTTTTCTTGTATAAAATTGTTTTTCACTACTTATGTTTTGTGTAGTTTGAGATTATTCAAACCCAAAACTGAAGGAAAAACAATACTGTAAACAGAAAACCTCACCGAAAAAATACAAACTGAAATCAGAATTGTCGCTAATCCTGGGTTAGCTTAACTAGGCCCTGAACAACCCAGACATGACAGACAGACAGTTCAGTAAATTTTTTGAATTATCAAATGTATTCCTTTTACATGCATTTTCTGAAATATGCAAGTTTTAATTGTGAAGCGCTTAGATATTCATCGAAATATCTGTTTTTATCAAGGCAGTAAAAACATTTCAATCTATCAACGACTCAAGGAACATTTTCCACTCAATTTTGTCATCATTTAAAAATTTACACTGCAACTTATAAGAAAAAAAATGATAGTTTAACATAAATGCAATTTTCTTTTTATAAGGGTTGGATCCCAATATTAACTTAGCTATTGAATATCTCCTTACAGCACCATGCCTTCAAAGAAGGCAAAATGGCGGAAGAAATTCGACGAACAGAACAGACCTCCGGACGATGCTAAAAGTAAGTGCTTGTAAAATAAGAAAGTAAAACCACTTCACTCTTCAGAGTATAATTTTAAACTAGCGATGATTATGAAATGAATATTAACTATATATATGTCTTGGGTTATGGCTAATTAAGACTTTACTCAAAGCGGGAGAGTTTACTCAAAGTGGTTGAGGTCGCAGGAAATATAACTTGGTTCTGCTGCAAAGTCGGCAAATTTGCATGGTTAAAGAGCGTTTGAGCATGGGTTAAATTTGGCAATGCCAAGAAGCAGTTTCTTACCTTTTATCATGTAAAAATTGTTTTACTGAACTAAAACTAAAATAGTTTTACCAGAGCTAAAAAGGAAATTATCATACTAGGCCTTTACGACACTGAAAAGGGAAAACATAAATTTATACTTTAAAAGGTAGCCAGGGAACAGTTTCCAACACTTTTCAGCAGTTATCCTTCGACGGATCAATACTACCACACTTTATTAAGCGATCGGTTGCAATATTGGTATAACAAAAATACCCAGTCATGGTTAAACAAGTTGTGGCCATCTTCATGGCATAACCAACGATACCACCTGATAAAAATTCAAAAACACTTCGGTGAAAACCATTTTTTCTGTCGAATTGTGATCGCTATCTGAAGATACCAGGTTTTGCAAAGTTTCAAACACTTCTGTAAGACGGTTTCAGAGCTATTTGAAATTTTCGAAAATTCAAGGTGACTTAGCTTAGCATGAGAGATGGACATGGTTGTTTGGCATTTTAGAGTCCGAAGAAACAGCAGGACAAAATGAAGAAGCACAAGGCAAGACATCACTACGAACAGAAGGAGCTGAAACGAAAGGAGGTGCATGTGGAACAACTGCTGATGAAATACCAGGTACATTGATGAAACTGTCGACAAACATTTAGTATACAATAATAAGAATAACTTGATTAAGCACATTCTACTGCAACCTTAACCTCAGTCAGTTTTATGCGGGCGTGTTTGAAACACGAAATGGTGAAATTACGAAATAGCACAACGGGAAAGAGTCAATCTGGGATACGGAAGTCTCAGTAAGAGTTAATCCTTACAATTGTTGAGAGCTAACCACTGTCGAGTCAGTGATATTTAAACTAACCTGAGCGCTGTTTATAACCGGCTAACCGGAGCGTTATTTAGTCTAATCGCAGTGCCATTTCGTGTTTTAAACACGCCCGTTTAATGCCTAGTAAGGTTGTAAATTCAACGAAATGTCTCTGGCAAAACTACCTGTTTTGAAGGCGGTGGAAGTAAGTTCGCCCACCGGCATTTATTGACTTGACTTATTTTGGATAGAAAATTGAGCGAAGTGGCTTGGCAGTTACGTTGTTACGCGGAAAACAGAAGCTGACGATTATTTCAGTTTTCCTAAATGACTATGTGTTTTCTTGATTCAAGATGACAGTGCTAAGGAGGAGAGGCGAGACCACAGAGGCCGGCTAAGAGGAAAGCAGCGCGAATTAGGACGAAAAGGCCGACATCAGAAACGAGGTCATGGAAGGGAAGAGACTAGTCCAGGTAAATTAAACGTAAAATGCAGATTGAATCAAGTTATGTTGGCTTACGAGCGCGCGAGAGGGTGTTTCAGTGGGTGTGCATGTGAAAAGAGTCAATTTTGTAACAGAGAATGAACAATACAAAGGAAAGTGATCGTCTTAACCACACTTCTAAGGAACATAATGTTTCCTACTTAACTCAATCGTTCCTCCTTCAGGTTCCTCCAGGTTGTGCAAATACTGTATCGAGATAGCAGTCAATGAGGGCGATGAAAAACGAAAACAAGATGTAATTCTCTTCATTATCAGTATAATGACAGGCTGACGATCGGTATGCTTTTGGAAAGATGCCACATTGAAATCTCTTAACACTAAACTTAGGGGAGCAGGGATGGTGTAATGGTGAAAGCGTTCCCCTTCCACCAATGTGGCCTGGGTTCGACCCTGGCTCGATGCTGTGTGGATTCAGTTTGTTGTTGGTTCTCACCTTTCTCCGAGGGTTTATCTCCGGGTATTAGGTTTTCTCCTCTCCAGAAAAAGCCAATATTTCCAAATTCCAATTCCTTTCTAAATATTGTAATATTTTTTTGCGGAAAGGTTGCTTTGTCAAGATGTTGATTTCTTCATGTCAACTCTTGGTGACGTAACGATACTTTCTGAAATTTGTAATTGTAATTGTAATTGTAATAATTGTGTAAAATTGAACACTCCTCGACCCAATCAATGTTAACAGAGCCTGAAGCTACAAAGGAACCAAAGGAAGGAGGCACACGAAAGACAACAGCAGACGGAAGTCAATTCCCAGCGTCACAAGATGCAGAAGGCAAAGCTCAAGGTCGGTGACTTGTTCTGATTTTAGGATAGAGACTCTTGACATGTCTCTATGTTCAATAAATAAGTTGGATATTAGATGTTACCCTCCACGGAAACAGAGAATGGCTTTAGTTTAGTCACCACACCACGTCAAATTGATGTATTACTCCAGCCAGCATCCCCTTGGTTACACTGAAAAATGCTGCCTTTATATAATAAAGGATACGAGAATTGAACTTTCAGCTACAGGGAAAGAGAAAAGTTGGATGGCCAAGGAACAACTGGAAGCGGTCCATGCTGCAGGAGTTGCAAAGAGTGGGCTACTTTTGAGAGAGAGCCAGAGCCAGAGCCCTATGCTTCCCCGAGGATGATAAAGGATAATGGTGATTACAGACAACTCCCAATCACCCAAACAGACATCAGTTAAATTGCTATTGTTAACAAAAATTATTGGTATTGAAATAGCGTGTTGAATCCCGTGTACTGATTAGAGTATTCTATTTATAACAATTTGTCGTTTATTGTAGGTGCGAACTTTGACAAACAGAACAACCAAGCTCATGGAGGACGCGGGAGAGGAGCATCATGGGAACAGCAAAAAGGTCGAGGGCCGTCGTCACGGGGAAGAGGAGAACCTTCAGGTGAATATAAAAACGCAAAATAGCCGCAAGTAATCATTATTAGTTTGAATTCAGTTGGGGAGGGGGGAGAGAAATCTTTGTAGGAGCACTCCTGTCGAAGTGTTGTTATCTCTTTTCTTTAATCGAATCTTCATCAGTTCCGCTTCTCCGTATGGAAAGTGGGGCCAGAAATTTTACTTCTCCAAGATACTCTGTCAACCGCCGCCAGCCCTGCCTCCACCCAAGAACGGTAAACCCATCGTCATTTGCTCTTTCTCCACTGTCCTACGCCATATTTCTCTGGGTCTTCCTCTCTTGCGTTTTCCCTCCGGGGCCCACGTCAGTGCAACTCGTGGGAGGGAACTGTTATCCATTCGTAGCACATGTCCAATCCATGTCCACCTCCTTCTCTTTACTTCTTCGCTGATAGTTTCCATGTTAGCTCTCTTGCGCACCTTTTCATTTGACACTCGCATAGGCCAATAGATCTCTAAAAGCCTACTCAGGCACTTGTGCTGGAAAGTATTTAGTTTGGCCTCATCCCCCTTTGTCATCCTCCACGATTCACATCTGTACAGCAACATAGCTATTACGTTGGACTTGAATATTCTTATCTTAGTACTCTTACTCAGTTGGCTGCTTTTCCAGATATTCATCAGTTTACAAAACGCTGCTCTTGCTTTTCCCAGTCTGCATCTGCTCCACCAGAGGTAGTAACTTTGGCTCCCAAATAGACAAAACTGCCTAAGTCTTCAAATTCTTCTCCATTTACCATAGCTTTCTTATCGTTTACAGCATTGAATCTCATTACTTTCGTTTTGGCAATGTTAATCTTTGGACCCATTTCTTGGCTGGCATTAAATAAGCGATCGGTATTCAACTGGAACTTCTTTTTTGCATTTGATAACAGTGCAAGATCATCAACGAAATCGAGATCTTCGACTTCCTCAGTAAACCTCCACCTAATTCCAGTATTTCTTTCCTCAAGCGCTTTCCTCATCACCCAATCAATGACAAGCAGATAAGACACCATGACATTACGCCCCCTTCCCGGACACCTGAATTAATGTCAAGACAGTCAGTCTTTCCTCCCCCATCGACTACTGCACACTAGCTTCCTCTGTACATTGCCTGTACCATCCTAATAATTTTGGGTGGAATACCATATAACCTCATGATTCTCCACAGGGAGACCCTATGGACACTGTCGAAAGCATTTTCAGTCTATGAAGCAAATACACAGGGTTGTTTTCTATTGTTTTTCTTTAATCGAATAGCCGGGAGTAAACCGAAGTTCTTGAAATTAGGTATATTATGTTGCTTAGCAATTTCTCTGGTGAAAACCGAAGGATCAGTACCAAATCAATGCATTCTTGGAGACTAGATTCTCGCTGAAACAGGTATCTACAGAAGAACTGAAATTTATATACTTACTTACGAATGCATATTGTCTCATAATACAGATAGAAACCAAGAACAACGTCCAGGAAGGCCTTTTCCGATGAATGCTGATTCCCGTTCACCACCACAAGACAAAACACATCCCCCTCCTGTTCGCAGATTTTTTCCTGCAAAATGTGTCCTAGACCTGAAAACGTTAAAAGAGATGAATCCCAGTGAAGTAGTCTACAAGTTAAATGAAAGTATGGCTCGCTTTAAGTTCTTTCTAAGAACACCGCAGGAGCATCACAACAGCGATGAGTTCATCTTCGACCTCACGTGCACATTGGCAACGGCCTGTAGTGCGCCACCGGATGAGAACACGAACACGATTCTATCCGAGCTTAAAGGCTCGGTATTCTTGAGCTCGAAGATTCCTCGCCTTCTCGATCGTGTTCAAGTGTCGACGGCCTTGATAAACCAAGATTCCCAAAGAAGACTCATTCAATGCCTGATCAAATTATTCAGGTGGTATTTGAGGCACTTGCCCAGTTCATATGCTGACATACCTTACCATAAGTTGAAAGACGCTTTGGACCAGTCAAGCATTGACGGAAAAGATGACTTGCGGAGAGAGTTAGAGGCTTTTAAGCAAGCCAGAGATAATATCATCATTGCCGAGAGACACCAGAAGCATGGAAGACGTTACGTCAATAGAACAGGACAAAAGCCGCCAAACGACTTTAGAGACATACCGATTTGTCCCACAAGCAAGGAAATCACATCTCAAGAGCGGCCTTTCCTACGTGAGAACATTTTAAAGGGAAGATATGAAGATGCTGAGCACTACCTTGATGTGCAGTTTCGATTACTTAGAGAGGATTTCCTCGAACCATTAAGAGAAGGTATCTATGAAACTACACACAACGTTCCGAGAGCACAACGCAATCAGCTGATGAAAAGTTACCATGGAGTACGCATTATTGGTAAGGAATTCACATTCTCCGGAACTATTCACACCGCTAAATTTGATGTCTCCAACTTCGGTTCGACCAGCTGGACACACTCGAAGAAACTAATCTTTGGCTCACTCCTGTGTCTTTCAAAAGACAACTTCGAAACAATGCTTTTTGCCACAGTTGCTAATCGAGACCCAGAGTACCTGGAGAAAGGTATATTTGACCTTCGATTCATTGAAGAACAAAACATTTTTGATATCGAGAAGCGCAGAGATCAGTACCAAATGGTTGAGTCACCAGCTTATTTTGAGGCCTATCGTCACGTACTTAAAGGGCTCAAGGAACTGGACGAGAACAACTTGCCTTTCAAGAAGTATTTGGTTGAATGTTGTGGCGATGTAGATCCACCAGAATATCTAAGACGCGAAGATGGATATCCAGTGTATTATGACCTTAGCGAGGCGCTTCACGTACCGGATGGAACTAGAGTACCTGTTCTCGATCCCAAAGCGTGGCCACCAGTTGAAGTCCTTCCTCTGAACAGCTCTCAGCTGGAAGCGTTAAAAACAGCTGTGACAACTGAGTTTTCGGTCATCCAAGGCCCCCCAGGAACAGGAAAAACCTACGTTGGAACGAAAATCGTGCGATGCCTTCTTGACAACCGACAACAGTGGGATCCTGAAAACACATCTCCAATGTTAATGGTTTGCTACACAAACCACGCTCTCGATCAGTTTCTTGAAAAGGTGTTAGAATTTCTCCCGCCGAAAAGGATAATTCGGGTAGGGGGACGATGCAAGAGTAAACAGCTGGAAGAATGTAATTTAAAGGCCCTTACAAGGCGACACAGAAGAACCTATAACCACAATTTCATAGAGAAGAAAATACGGGACAATGAAAAAGAAATGAAAGAATGTAACGACGTCCTTGCCAAAGCAGACAAAGTACTTTTGGAATTTCCTGATTTGGAAGATGGGATGAACGCACGACACACTGACCAACTTTACGATGCAGTCTATCCACGTAACGCAACAAGCGATTGTCAGAATACTCCCAATACCTTTAAATTATGGCTATGCAACAACACGCCGTTGAATGACCAGAACAAATGCTCAAATACCCCAACAAAAGACGATGACCTTGAAGGCCAAGATGGATCGATCCTTCCAGAAGATGGTACAGGTGGAGATTTCGATGGCTTTCTTGATGATGCGGAGTTACGATTTGACGTTAAAACTGACACTAACCATGTCCAGAGCAAAGTACCCTGTCCTGATGAGCAGTTCATGAAGTACAGACCCAAAGAAAACTCAGCAAATGAAATTGCAAAAGAGGATACAGACGGAAACTTGCCCGCGAACTCTGTCTTCTTGGATGGATCTGCTGAAAGTGACTGTCCAAATGAGTTGTTAGAGCACACTGCTTTCAATGCTTCATCCGTCGACGAAAGCAAGGACAAAACTGAACGAGCACATGAAGGTAACGAAGAGACAATCACGGTAGAAGGCGAAGCGACGCGAATCCATAATCAAAGATTTATAGAGGGAGATGAAGAATATGTGTCAGCGAGATTACAACCAGGCTATAAAGGAAAAAGCCAAGACGTAGAGGAGGGACAAATGGAAGGAGGTAATGGAAGGACAGTTGAAGACATTGAAGGATGGACAAAGGTTTCCTACGGACGAAAATCCAATCGATGCGTCTGGCTAGATAACGAAGGTAGGAATAACCAAAACGACAGAAAAGCTGAGTCGGTCAAAGTTGAAAATAGCCAGAGCAAGGATACGGGCAACCAAAAACGTAAAAGAAAGAAGAGGGAGGAAAAGGAGAAGATTGCTCTTACGGCAGACACCACCAATTTACAAAGTCAGTTACAAAAATTAAAAATGATGTCCGATGACGAAGCAATGAGGGTGGCAAATATTTGGTTCCTGTCAGTAAACGATCGCCTCCGGTTGTACCTTTACTGGGTTGAATGCTACCGGCAACGCCACAGAATTGAGGTCCAAAGAAGGGAACAGAAGCATGAAGAGCTTTGTGCTGAATTGGAATGGATTAGAGGCGAAGAGGAGATAGGGTTCATAGGTCAAGCAACAGTCGTTGGAATGACAACCAGCTGCGCTGCCAGATACCACTCAATGTTACAGAGAATAGCTCCCAAAATCGTCATCATAGAAGAAGCTGCTGAGGTTATGGAAGCCCACATCATCACTTCTCTTTCACGTAACACAAAACATACAATTCTCATTGGAGACCACAAACAACTCCGCCCGAAAGCAACAGTCTATGAGTTAGCCCAGAAATATAACCTGGAGATCTCATTGTTCGAAAGAATGGTAATGAACAACATGGACTGCAAAAGGTTGTGTATACAGCATCGCATGCGCCCTGAGATTGCTGCACTAACGAAGAGAATCTACGATCATGACATAACAGACCACCCAACTGTGTGCCAATTTCCTGACATAACCGGCCTACGCCAGAACCTGTTCTTTGTTGATCACTGTGAACCTGAGTTCCTAATAGGCGGCCTACAGAGCTACACAAACCCTCACGAGGCCACCTTCCTAGTAGAACTTTGCTATTATCTTCTTCTCCAAGGTTACAGACCAAGCCAAATTACAATTCTAACCATGTATACCGGTCAGTTGTTACTTCTTCAAAAGAAAATGCCCAAGAGAACATTTGATGGTGTGAAGGTTTGTGCGGTGGACAACTTTCAAGGTGAAGAAAATGACATCGTTCTTCTTTCGTTGGTAAGAAGCAATTCAGAAGGTCGGGTTGGTTTCCTAGGCGAGTCCAACAGAATCTGCGTTGCACTGTCACGAGCTCGCCAAGGACTTTACTGCATTGGCAACTTCAGTCTACTGAAAAGAAAGTGCAAGCTGTGGCAGGAGATATGTGATGATCTAGAAACACACAACGCAATCGGCGAGACCCTTCAACTGGTTTGCAAGAACCACAGTAATGTCACTCATGTACTTACTTCACACGACTTTGACAGATTTGGAGGATGCAAGATGACCTGTGGGCATCGTCTTGATTGTGGTCATGCTTGTGACAAGCCATGTCATGCTTTAGACGTCTACCATGATCCAGAGCACAAGGAGGGTCAGTGTATCAAATTATGCTTTAAATGTTGTCCAAATGAGCACCATTGTAAAGAGACGTGTCATTATCCAAGACCCTGTGGCGATTGTTACGAAGTTATGTGGAGGACGGTTCCTCAGTGTGGTCACGAACAGCCCGTACCATGCAGTGTTGACCCCGCAAAATTTTCTTGCACTCTAAAATGTCAGAAGGTCTTGAAATGCGGACACAACTGTAGTAATACATGTGGGGAGTTATGCACCACTCAATGTAAAGTCAAGTGCATAAAACGCCTTTCTTGCAATCACGAAAAACGTATGGCGTGTTTCCGTGATCCGATGCTCGAAACAAACTGTAACAACAACTGCGAGAAGACTCTGGCATGTGGCCACCCTTGTGCAAAAAAATGCAAGGAGCAATGTCAATGTAACACTGAAATTATAGTACAGTTACCGTGTGAGCATAGGAGACAAGTCTTGTGCCACAAGAAAGACTCTCCATTCCAGTGTTTTGAGAGATGCAGAAGATCATTGGACTGTGGACACGACTGCCCTGGCATTTGTCACGAGGACTGTGGGAAGAAGCAGTGTAAAGAAGAAGTCTACAAAGTTCTTCCATGTGGCCACCAGCAACGTGTGCCTTGTTACCTTGAACCCAAAAATGCTTTTTGTTACGCTCCCTGTCAAAGAAAGTTGAAGTGCGGACACAAATGTTCACTTGTGTGCGGTCGTCTGTGCCATGAGGTTCCATGTGAAGAACTGTGCCCAGCGAAGTGTGAGCAAGGTCATGCATGCCAAAAACAATGCCACTTTGGTTTCGCATGCGGCGATTGCATGGTAGCGGTTAACAAGACAATTCCCAAGTGCAAGCACAGCATTGAGGTGCCCTGTTACATCGATCCAGCTTCTCTGACGTGCAAAAAGCCATGTGACAGATTAAATGAATGTGGGCACCCTTGTCGAGGCATTTGCAGCAAGAAGTGCGAATCTCTGCCCTGCAAGGAGAACGTAGACAAAAGGTTACCATGTGGTCACGTGACGACTCTACCCTGTCACAAGAATCCCGGAAAGTACAAATGCAAGGAAAGAATAACGGTTCATTTGCCATGTGGACACAAGCAACAATTACTCTGCCACATTGCAAAGACCAGCGAACAAAACAGATTGTGCAATGAGAAAGTTGAGAAGGAACTGCGGTGTAAACACAAACTTACTCTTCCCTGTCACAAGAATCCTGAAGACTGCAAGTGTAAGAAGAGAGTCGATGTCCAACTACCATGTGGTCATATGAAGTCTCTTGTCTGCTCTACTGTGACAGCAGACTTACAAAATGTTCCTTGTATGGTGAAGATCCATCGAAAGCTACCTTGTGAACATGAAGTAACTCTTCCCTGTCATAGAAGTCGAGGGGAACACTGTTGTCAGGAAGAGGTTCAAATTAACCTTGCATGCGGGCACAAAAAGCTCACAACATGCTCCAAAATGAGGGATGAATTGAAGAGTGAAACATGTGACACAAAGGTTACAAGAAAACTACCCTGTGGTCATGAAAAGGAGATGAAGTGTTCAGATACCCAAGAGGAGGTTTTTTGTGATCTTCCATGTGACCGCTTTCTTCCATGTAGTCACCCTTGTGCCCAAAAATGTGGCAATGACTGCGCTACCTTCAAATGTGCTGCCAGAATTCAAAAGGATTTAGCATGCGGATTCCACAGAGTCAGTTGTCTTTGCTCTGACGATGTGTCCCAATTTGTCTGTGCAAATAAATGCACGAAGAATTTGCCTTGCGGTCACTTATGTCCTGGTAAATGCTCTGACGACTGCAGCGAGTTCACATGCCGCAAGATGGTGTTCAAGCATCTTGACTGCGCAGGAAAGCACTCTAAGAAAATGCCCTGTAGCGAGGATTCCAGCAGCGTAACATGCAAGGAGAACTGCAGCAAAACTCTCGATTGTGGTCACCCGTGTCCGGGCCTTTGTAGCCAACAATGCGAAAGTTTGAGGTGCAAGCGAAAAGTAGAAAAAACATTTTCTTGTGGCCACAGCGCATCACTTCAGTGCTTTCAAAGAAAAACCGCGACCTGCATGGCACCTTGTCGGCGTCGAAAGAGCTCATGCAAACATATTTGTAAAGGAATTTGTGGACAAGATTGTTCTAATTATCCTTGCGATGTACCTGTGGTTAAAAACCTTTTGTGTGGTCATAAGATCCAGATGCTTTGCAGTCAGTCTACTGATGATGTACAGTGCCCTGCTTCATGTGGAGCAAAGTTGCCATGTGGTCATCAGTGTTCTGGAATATGTGGCGATTGCCAACAAAATGGCTCACATGAATTGTGCCACCGTCCGTGTGGTCGATTACTTGTTTGTTCGCACCGCTGTAAAGCAACATGTAGTGAGCCTTGCCCCCCCTGTGACAGGAAATGTGGCCGATGTTGCCCTCATGGAAAATGCAAGAAACGTTGTTCAGGGTTGTGTGACACGTGCACAGAACCGTGCACATGGAGCTGTCCTCATTACCAGTGCAATAATCTTTGTGGAGAGGAATGCGATCGCCCTCGCTGTGATGCTCCCTGTCCCAAGAAGCTGCCTTGCCGCCACTCGTGTATTGGCTTGTGTGGAGAAAACTGCCCCACTGTGTGCGCCGTTTGTCATTCTAAGAAGCTTTCTTCCATGTTAGAGGATGGACGTCGAAACAAGACGGACCCCACACGATGTCTGCAACTTTTCGACTGTGGTCACATCATTAAAGTTGAAGAGATGGATAGGTGGATGCTCCAAGAACTGGCTAGCGATGATCAGCTAAGGAGATGCCCAAAGTGTTCTACATCAATTACGTTTAGCTATCGTTACGGAAATATCATCAAAAGATCACTGAAAAGCATTGAAAATGTAAAGAAAAGAGTACACGAGGTTGTATACGAAGAAACCACTTCTGCCAGCGTTCTTCTATCAAAACGGGGACTGCGCAATGATGTAACCAAGCTTAAGTTTCCACCACAAGTCGTAAGTGTTGTGCAGTCGAATTCAAACACAAGGAACTGGCTCGATTGGCCGCGTGTGCCTGGGCGCATTGCTCTTTTCATATTCACACTAAAAAATCACCTGTTGATTCTACAGCAAGCGCAAAGAACACATGAGGAGCTACAAGAGGCATTGATTGGTCTTCGAGGAAGTTCGCAAGAGCAGGTGGAGCTGAAAGAGCTATGGAACGACACCAAAAATGCGTTGGAAAAGATCAAAGTGTACCTAGAGGAACCTCAACTTGATTTGAAAACTCTAAGTCAAGTGTTTGAACAGACAAGAAAGTTCTTTCTTTTCTCTCAAGTTTTAGAGGCCCAAAGCAAGGCTATCATGCGTCAGATTCCTTTGTCAAGCAATGGGTCAACTCGACTGAGACTGGCATGCCATCGCTTCAGAGTCTTTCTTGAGGGTAACGACGATGTTCTAGATCTCGAATGGCTGAGAGAAACGGTCAACTTGTTGAGCACAGAGATGAGCCTCCCACTCCTACCGCTTGAGGGAGCAAAAGACTTCGCAAATTTCCCAGGGTACCAAAGAGACGTCTGGAAATCATGCGACCAAGGTCACGTTTATTTCACGGGATGGATAGTGCGAGGCGGCGAAGACATTCCGGTGGGCAGCGAAGGATGCAGCAGGTGTACAACAGAGCAATGAAAATGGAAGAAGGACAGTTAACTGAAAGGAAAAGTGTCATTACTTGTCATAGAAACTAATTTGTAGTGCTTCTAATAAGGAGGAAAGGTGCAAAGTTCGAAAAGAATGACAATTCATCACGTGGTAGCAGGCAATGAATTAAAGTCGTGATTTGAGCATGAATTTGAAAGAACATGATGAATCCACCGAAAGCGTTTGAAGAAGGCTGAATACTACAGACTTGAAGCACGATCAACAGTTCACCTGAGGTTGATGTTTGAGAGGCGTGGTAGGACGTCACAGATCTGATGTAGTGTTAGAAGCAACTAATTTCCAGACTAAGAAACGAAAATGGAAACGTCAACTAAACCTGAGTGCGTTGGAGTGTCTTGCAGCAGGCCGTAGATGTATCTGTGCATCGGCTTAACAGCATGCCTTGTAATGGGGATGTTAAAATCTCACTTAATAGATGAATAACCCATAACCAGGACAGTCTTGAATTAAAGGACCTGCCATTGGTTGGTCGTCTGTTTCAATGACAGTGCTGGGAATCAGTTCTCTTATCCACAGCTAAACACCTTTTTGACACCAGAACAGTTAGAGGTAGATGTCCTGAATTGGAGAATATGCCGTACAGACAACTGGCGTTGTTCTCATCTGAATTGCAATAATATTTGTGGAGAGGAATACGACAGCCCTTGCTGTAAAGCCCATCGTGCACCAGTTGTGGAGANGGGGGGGGGAGAGAAATCTTTGTTGGAGCGCTCCGCTCAAAGTGTTGCTATCGCTTTTCTTTAATAGAATTGTCATCAGTTCCGCTTCTCCGTATGGAAAGTGGGGCCAGAAATGTTTCTTCTCCAGGACACTCTGTCAAGCGCCGCCAGCCCTGCCTCTACCGAAGAACAGTAACCCATCGCCATTCGCTCTTTCTTCACTCTCCTACGCCATATTTCTCTGGGTCTTCCTCTCTTGCGTTTTCCCTCCGAGGCCCACGTCAGTGCACCTCATGGGAAGGAACTGTTATCCATTCGTAGCACGTGTCCAGTGCATGTCCACTTCCTTCTTTTTACTTGTTCGCTGATAGTTTCCATGTTAGCTCTCTTGCGCACCTCTTCATTTGATACTCGTATAGGCCAATAGATTTTTAAAAGCCTACCCAGGCATTTGTGCTGGAAAGTATTTAGTTTGGCCTCACCCCCCNAGTTGGATGGCCAAGGAACAACTGGAAGCGGTCCATGCTGCAGGAGTTGCAAAGAGTGGGCTACTTTTGAGAGAGAGCCAGAGCCAGAGCCCTATGCTTCCCCGAGGATGATAAAGGATAATGGTGATTACAGACAACTCCCAATCACCCAAACAGACATCAGTTAAATTGCTATTGTTAACAAAAATTATTGGTATTGAAATAGCGTGTTGAATCCCGTGTACTGATTAGAGTATTCTATTTATAACAATTTGTCGTTTATTGTAGGTGCGAACTTTGACAAACAGAACAACCAAGCTCATGGAGGACGCGGGAGAGGAGCATCATGGGAACAGCAAAAAGGTCGAGGGCCGTCGTCACGGGGAAGAGGAGAACCTTCAGGTGAATATAAAAACGCAAAATAGCCGCAAGTAATCATTATTAGTTTGAATTCAGTTGGGGAGGGGGGAGAGAAATCTTTGTAGGAGCACTCCTGTCGAAGTGTTGTTATCTCTTTTCTTTAATCGAATCTTCATCAGTTCCGCTTCTCCGTATGGAAAGTGGGGCCAGAAATTTTACTTCTCCAAGATACTCTGTCAACCGCCGCCAGCCCTGCCTCCACCCAAGAACGGTAAACCCATCGTCATTTGCTCTTTCTCCACTGTCCTACGCCATATTTCTCTGGGTCTTCCTCTCTTGCGTTTTCCCTCCGGGGCCCACGTCAGTGCAACTCGTGGGAGGGAACTGTTATCCATTCGTAGCACATGTCCAATCCATGTCCACCTCCTTCTCTTTACTTCTTCGCTGATAGTTTCCATGTTAGCTCTCTTGCGCACCTTTTCATTTGACACTCGCATAGGCCAATAGATCTCTAAAAGCCTACTCAGGCACTTGTGCTGGAAAGTATTTAGTTTGGCCTCATCCCCCTTTGTCATCCTCCACGATTCACATCTGTACAGCAACATAGCTATTACGTTGGACTTGAATATTCTTATCTTAGTACTCTTACTCAGTTGGCTGCTTTTCCAGATATTCATCAGTTTACAAAACGCTGCTCTTGCTTTTCCCAGTCTGCATCTGCTCCACCAGAGGTAGTAACTTTGGCTCCCAAATGGACAAAACTGTCTACGCCTTCAAATTCTTCTCCATTTACCATAGCTTTCTTATCGTTTACAGCAATGAATGCCATTACTTTCGTTTTGGCAATGTTGATCTTTCGACCCAGTTTCTTGGCTGGCATTAAATAAGCGATCGGTCTTCAACTGGAACTGCCATTTTGCATTTGATAACAGTGCAAGATCATCAACGAAATCGAGATCTTCGACTTTCTCAGTAAACCTCCACCTAATTCCAGTATTTCTTTCCTCAAGCGCCTTCCTCATCAGCCAATCAGTGACAAACAGATAAGACACCATGACATAACGCCCCCCTCCCGGACACCTGAATGAATGTCAAGACAATCAGTCTTTCCTTCCCCATCGACTACTGCACACTGGCTTCCTCTGTACATTGCCTGTACCATCCTAAACATTTTGGGTGGAATACCATATAACCTTATGATTCTCCACAGGGAGACCCTGTGGACACTGTGGAAAGCATTTTCATAGTCTATGAAGCAAAAAAAAAGGGTTGTTTTCTATCGTTTTTCTTTAATCGATTAGTCGGGAGTAAACCGAAGTTCTTGTAATTGGGTATATTATGTTGCTTAGCAATTTCTCTGGTGAAAACCGAAGGATCAGTACCAAAATCAATGCATTCTTGGAGACTAGGTTCTCACTGAAACACGTACCTACAGAAGAACTGAAATTTATATATTTACTTACCAATGCATACTGTCTCATAATACAGATAGAAACCAAGAACAACGTCCAGGAAGGCCTTGTCCAATGAATGCTGATTCCCATTCACCACCACAGGACAAAACACAGCCCCCTCCTGTTCGTAGATTTTTTCCTGCAAAATGTGTCCTAGACCTGAAAACGTTAAAAGAGATGAATCCTCGTGATGTAGTCTGCAGGTTAAATGAAAGTATGGCTCGCTTTAAGTTCTTTCTACGATCACCGCAGGAGGAGCATAACAGCGATGAGTTCATCTTCGACCTCACGTGTACACTAGCAATTGCCTGTAGAGCACCACCGGACAAGAACACAAACGAGATTCTAGCCGCGCTCAAAGGCTCGGAATTCTTGACCTCAAAGATTCCTCGTCTGCTTGATCATCTGCAAGTGTCAACGGTGTTGAATGAACAAGAATCCCAGAGAAAACTCATTCAAAGCTTGATCAAAGTGTTCACGAGGTATTTGAGACACTTGCCCAGTTCATATGCCGACCTGCCTTACACTCAGTTGAAACAAGCCTTGCACCAGTCAAGCATTCATGAAAAGGATCATTTACAGAAAGAGTTAGAGGCTTTTAAACAAACCAGAGATGATCTCATTATAGCGGAAAGGCAGAAGCATGGAAAACGTTACGCCAACAAAGCAGGGCAAAAACCGCCAAACGATTTCAGAGACATACCAATTTGTCCCACAAACAAAGAAATCGCATCTCATGAACGGCCCTTCCTACGTAAGAACATTTTAAAGGGAAGATATGAAGATGCCGAGCACTACCTTGATGTACAGTTTCGGTTGCTTAGAGAGGATTTTCTTGAGCCACTCAGGGAAGGCATCCACGAAATTGTCCAAAATGTACCAAGAAAACAGCGCAATCAGTTAATGAAACAGTACCAAGGAGCACGTATTGTCGACAAACAATTCACGCCGTTCGGAATCATTTATCAAGTACAATTTGATGTTTCCAGGTTCGATACCAAAAGATGGGCAAATTCCAAACGACTTCTGTTTGGTTCATTCCTTTGTCTTTCAAACAACAACTTTGAGACAATGCTTTTTGCAACAGTTTCCAAACGAGATCCAGAGGAACTGGCAAAAGGTAGAATTGAAATTCGATTCATCGAGGACCAAGATGTGTTTGGGGTGGAAAACCGTACATGTGAGTATCAAATGGTTGAGTCGCCTGCCTACTATGAAGCCTATCGTCATGTTCTCAAAGGCCTGAAGGAATCGGATGAAACCACCATGCCATTCAAGAAATATCTGGTTGAATGTAGTGAAGATGTCGATCCACCCGAGTATCTGAGGCGCGAGGATTCTGAAGAACCAGTTTGCTATGATCTTAGGTTGGCATTGGATGTTCCAGATGAAACGAACGCAAGTAGGGTACCAGTCCTGCAGCTCGGAGCCTGGCCCTCTGTTGAGATCCTTCCACTTAACAGCTCCCAGTTTGAAGCGTTAAAAACAGCAGTTACAACTGAGTTTTCGGTCATTCAGGGACCCCCAGGAACGGGGAAGACGTATGTTGGAGCCAAAATCGTTCGATGCTTACTAGAGAATCGAGCAGCCTGGGACCCTGATAAAGTCTCGCCAATGCTTATGGTCTGTTACACAAACCACGCCCTTGATCAGTTCTTAGAAAAAGTATTAGAATTTCTTCCCAAAGAGCAGATCATACGTGTTGGAGGAAGATGCAGAAGTCCACAACTAGAAAAGTGTAATCTGAAATTATTTACTGACGAGCACAGGATGCATGAAAGACGAAGAGAAATCAGAGATATGATACGAAGCAAAGTCTGGAAAATGAGAGACTGGAAGAAATTACTTTCGAAAGCAGACAAAGAGCTTTTGGAATTCGACGATTTGGAAAATCTACTGGATTCTGAACATGCAGAGCAGCTCTACAGTGCCATATTTCCTCCTAACGCAGAAAACGAGTGTCGAACGCCAGACAACGCTTTCAAACTCTGGCTTTGTGGCAACAAGCAAATGGACTCCTTCAACCGACCCACGGTAGAACAAACAGAGGAGCAGGGGAGGACAAGGCAAGGTGGATCTGTCCTTCTAGACAATGATGTAGGTGAAGACGATAAAATATTCTATGACGCTACTCTGCTAGCAGCACCACGTGACAACGATGAAGGCAAAGGCAGCAATCCACCAGCACCTACATCTCAGGTAGATCTCAAAGAAAACTCTCTTTACTACAACGGACCAAATGGCTTCCTAGCTCAACAAAGCAGCAAGCTGGCAGCATCAGTTGGGTCTCAAGCCAGTTCTCTCGTAGAACATGCCCACGTTTCTCAAACGTTAAAGGATGTAGAAGAAATCCAAGACAGCAAATGGATTAAAGATCCTCCAGGCTGGACAAACAACTGCGATGGAGGTGTTAATAAGATAACAGACGCTTTCGAGGAGACCATCGAAGTAGAAAAGGAAGCTGATTTGATACAGGATCAAAGATTCATACATGGAGATGAAGATTTCCTGTCATTTATGTCGAGACAATCAGATGACTTGGGTTGTCAGAAACAAGACCAAGAAGACAAGGAAGACCAAGAAGAGGGATGGGAAACTGTATCCTACAGGAAGAAGGGAAAAAAATTTGCATGGCAGCAAACAACAGATAAGAATTCCAAAGACGGAATGGGAAGCGCTCACGTTCCAAGAGAGAAAAGTACAGCCCAAAAAGAATCCTCAAAGGGAAACAAAAACAAGAAAATAAAAATAACAGCAGATATCAAATCATTAAAGCGAGATCTGGAAAAAAAAGTTGCGATGCCTACCGATGAAGCGATGAGGGTTGACAACATTTGGCTTTTATCCTCCTCGGATCGACGTCGGTTGTATCTTTTTTGGATAGAGAGCTATCGTGAACGCTACAGGGCAGAGATTCAAAGAGGTGAACAGGAATATGACCAACTTTGTCAAGAACAAGAGGCAGTTAGATTTGAAGAAGAAGAAGAGGTTATACGTCGCGCAACTGTTGTTGGCATGACGACCAACGGTGCAGCACGATATCACTCAACCCTTCAGAGTGTAGCTCCCAGAGTTGTTGTAATCGAAGAAGCAGCTGAGGTAATGGAAGCTCATATCATCACTTCTCTTTCACACGACACAAAGCATACCATTCTTATCGGGGACCACAAGCAACTTCGCCCAAAGGCAACAGCATATGAGTTAGCCCAAAAATACAACCTGTCGATTTCGCTGTTCGAAAGAATGGTGATGAACAGTATGGATTGCAAACGTCTGTCTATACAGCACCGTATGCGTCCTGAAATTGCTGCACTTACTAAACGAATCTACGATCACGAAATTGTTGACCACGAAACGGTGTGCAAATTCAAGGACATATCTGGCCTAAACCTCAATCTGTTCTTCATAGATCATTGTGAGCCCGAGGTCCACATAGACGGGATGCAAAGTTACTCTAACCCTCACGAAGCCGACTTCTTAGTGGCCCTTTGCAAATACCTTTTACTTCAAGGATACAAAAGAAGCCAAATTACAGTTCTCACCATGTATACCGGTCAGTTGTTACTTCTTCAAGAGAAGATGCCAAGGAAAACCTTCTGGGGAGTCAGAGTCTGTGCAGTAGACAACTTTCAAGGTGAAGAAAATGACATCATTCTTCTGTCATTGGTCAGAAGCAATTCTTACCAGCGAATTGGTTTCTTAAACGAGTCAAACAGAATCTGTGTTGCATTGTCCCGAGCTCGCCAAGGATTTTACTGCATTGGAAACTTCAAGCTACTGAAAAGCCAGAGCAAACTGTGGCAGGAGATATGTAACGATTTAGAAACAAAGAACGCCATCGGAGAGACTCTACAGCTAGTATGCAAAAGACACAACAAAGTCACCAGTGTGGGAACGTCACGTGAGTTTGATATCACATTTGGAGGATGCAAGATGCCCTGTGGAGAACGTCTTGTTTGTGGCCATGCGTGTGAGAAACCATGCCACGCTTCAGCCCACTTCCAAGACCCCTGCTCTAAATTGTGCCTGATGAAATGCTGCTCCAACGACCACCAATGCCAACATAGGTGCCATTATCCAACCAACTGTCCTGAGTGTCGTCAAGATATGTTAAAGACGGTCCCTCAGTGCGGCCACGAACAACCCGTCCCGTGCAGTGTTGACCCAGAAATGTTCCCCTGTACACTCAAATGCGAAAAACTCCTCAAATGTGGACACAACTGCCAGGAAGCATGTGGGGAATCGTGTACGAAAAAATGTAACGTTCCCTGTAGGAAAACTCTCCCGTGTGGACATGAAAAAACCATGCCTTGTTTTAATGATCCCGTGGATTATAAAGGGTGTAACAGCAAGTGTACCAAACTTCTCGAGTGTGGCCATCCCTGTTCAAGAACATGCAAACAACGTTGTGAATGCAACACAAAAGTTGAAGTTGAACTACCGTGTGGTCATCGAAAACAAGTTTTATGTCGAAAGAAAGACACGCCACCACCGTGCGCGGAGAGATGCAGGAGAACACTGAACTGTGGACACGATTGTCCGGGCTTGTGTCATGAAGAATGTGCGGCGAAAAAATGCAAAAGCATTGTCTTTAAATTTCTTCCATGTGGCCATCAGCAAAGTGTTACTTGCCACCTTGACCCCAACAAGGCTTTTTGTTACGCTCCATGCCAACGACAGCTGGATTGCGGACACAGATGCACATCTGTGTGTGGCCGTGTGTGCGACGAGGTTCGATGTGAAGAAGTATGTCTAAAGAAGTGTGAGCGAGGTCATGCCTGTCAACGACGGTGCCATTTTGGTGCGTCATGTAATGATTGCATGATTGTGGTTAATATGACAATTCCCACATGCGGACACAGCATTGAGATGCCCTGTTACGTTGATCCATCTTCATTGAGGTGTAAAAAGCCATGTGAAAGAGTAAGGATCTGTGGACATCATTGTCAAAACATTTGCAGTACGAAATGTGAAGCTCAAGAGTGCAAGGCGCCCGTAAAAACAACGTTACAATGTGGTCACGAGGCGACTATACCCTGTCATAAGGATCCCGAAAAATATAAATGTGAAGAAATAGTAGAGGTCTGTCTACCATGTGGACACAAGACGTCCTTGGCCTGCCATGTTGTAAAAGCGAATCAACAAAAAGTATTATGCAACGTGAAAGTTGAGAAAGAACTGCCTTGCAAGCACAAACTCACTCTTCCCTGTCACAAAAATCCCAAAGAATGCAAATGTAAGAAGAAAGTCGATGTCCCCTTGTCGTGTGGTCATACGACGGCTCTTATTTGCTGTAATAAGATGGCAGACTTAAAAAATGTTTCTTGTAAGGTTAAGGTGAAAAGAAGACTACCATGTGACCACGAGATAACTATTCCATGCTACAAAAATCAGATGGAGCACGTTTGTGAAGAGGAGGCTGAAATCACCCTTTCCTGTGGACACACGAAGCTCACAACATGCTCGAAAGCGAGACATGGGCAGCATGGTGAAATCTGTAACATAAAGGTAATGAGAAGATTACAGTGTGGACACGAAAGGGAGATGTTGTGTTCAGACAAACCCATGGAGCACGTTTGTGAAGAGGAGGCTGAAATCACCCTTTCCTGTGGGCACAAGAAGCTCACAACATGCTTTAAGGCGATACATGAGCCGCATGGTGAAATCTGTGATACAAAGGTGACGAGAAGATTGAATTGTGGGCACGAAAGGGAAATGTTGTGTTCAGACAAACCAGGTGAAGTGTTTTGTGATGCTCCTTGCGAACAACGTCTTCCATGTGAACATCTTTGCACTAAAAAATGTGGCGACGACTGCGCTAGCTTCAAATGTGCCGTCAGAGTCCAGAAGCTCTTGGCATGTGGCTCACATGAAATCAATTGTCGTTGCTCTGATGATGTGTCCCAGATGATCTGTCCAAATGGTTGCAAGCGAACATTGTCTTGCGGGCATAAATGCCCTGGTAAATGCTCTGAGGATTGTAGTCAGTTCCAATGCCAGAAGATTGTCGTCAAACATCTCAATTGTGCAGGAGGGCATTCTCTAAGAATGCCTTGTAGTGATGATCCCAACACTGTAATATGCCAGGAACACTGCAACAATAAGCTAGATTGTGGTCATCCCTGTCCCGGCTCTTGCAGCCAGCCTTGCAGAAGTCTGAAGTGCATGCGAAGAGTAGAGAAAACATTTCCTTGCGGTCACATTGCGCCACTAAAGTGTTTCCAAAGCAAAACAGCGACCTGCAGGGAACGTTGTCGCCGTCATAAGAGCTCATGCAAACATATTTGTAAAGGGGTCTGTGGTGAAGATTGCTCTAAATACCCCTGTGATGTAGAGGTGACAAAAACCCTCTCGTGTGGGCATAAGATTAAAATGCGTTGTAGTCGCCCTGTGGAAGACGTACAATGTCCTGCTGTATGTGGAAAAGACTTGCCATGTGGTCATCAGTGTTCTGGGGCATGTGATGATTGCCAACAAAGCGGTTCACATGAATTGTGCGAACATCCATGTGGTCGATTGCTTGTTTGTTCGCACCGCTGTAGAGGAAGATGTAGTGAGCCTTGCCCTCCTTGTGACAAAAAATGCGACCGACGTTGCCCTCATGGGCAATGTAACAAACGCTGTGCCCAGCTGTGTGAACCATGCAGAAGACCGTGCACCTGGAATTGTCCTCACTACCAGTGCAAAAATCTCTGTGGAGAGGAATGCGATCGCCCTCGCTGTGATGCTCCCTGTCCTAAAAAACTGCCTTGTCGCCACCCCTGTATTGGCTTGTGTGGAGAAAACTGCCCCACTGTGTGTGCTATTTGTCATCGAGAGAAGCTTTCTTCCATGTTATCTGATGGACGTGGAAACAAGACGGAACCCAAACGATGTCTGCAACTTTTCGACTGTGGTCACATCATTAAAGTTGAAGAGATGGATGGGTGGATGTTCCGAGAACTGGCTAGCGATGATCAGCTAAGGAGATGCCCAAAGTGTTCTACATCAATTACGTTTAGCTATCGGTACGGAAATATCATCAAAAGGTCTGTTAAAAGCCTTGAAAAGGTAAAGAAGAGAGTGCAAGAGATAATATACGAAGAAACCACTTCTGCCAGGGATCTCCTGTCAATACGGGAATTGCACAATGATGTAACCAAGCTTAAGTTTCCGCCAATGGTTCTACGTGTTGTACAGTCGTATTTCAACAAAGCGAACTGGCTCGATTGGCCACGTGTTCGTGGGCGCTTTGCTCTTTTCATATTCACACTAAGAAATCACCTCTTGATTCTACAGCTAGCGCAAAGAACACATGAAGTGCTAAAAAAGGCGTTAGTTGGTCTTCAAGCAAGTTCAAAACAGCAGGTAGAGCTGAAAGAACTATGGAACGACACCAGAGATGCAATCGAAAAGATCAAAGTGTACCTGGAGGAACCTCAACTTGATTTGAAAACTCTTAGTCAAGTGTACGAACAGACAAGAAAGATCTTTCTTTTCTCCCAAGTTTTAGAGGCCCAAAGCAAGGCTACGATGCGTCAAATTCCTTTGTCAAGCAATGGTACAGCTGAACTGAGTCTGGCATGTAATCGCTTTAGAGTCTTTTTCAAGGGTAACGACGAGGTTCTAGATCTCGAATGGCTCAGAGAAACGGTCAACTTGTTGAGAACAGAGATGAGACTCCCACTCCGACCGCTTGAGGAAGCAAAAGACTTCGCAAATTTCCCAGGGTACCAAAAAGACGTCTGGAAATCGTGCGACCAAGGCCACGTTTATTTCACGGGATGGATAGTGCGAGGTGGCGAAGACATTCCGTTGGGAAGCGAAGGATGCAGCAGGTGTACGGCAGAGCAATGAAAATGGAAGAAGGACAGTTAACTGAAAGAAAAAATGTCATTACTTGTCATAGAAACTAATTTGCAGTGCTTCTTATAAAGAGGAAAGGCGCAAATTTCGAAAAGAATGGCAATTCATCACGTGGTAGTGGGTAATGAATCAAATTCGTGATTGAGCATGAAGTTGAAAGAATATGACGAATCCACGGAAAGCTTTTGAAAAAGGCTGAATACTACAGACTAGAAGCACCGGAGCGACAGTTCATCTGGGGTTGAGTTTTGAGAGGCATTATAGGACGTCACAGATTTGATGTAGTGTTAGAAGCAACTAATTTCCAGACGAAGAAACGGAAAGACCGTCAGAGAAAGCAGGTTGGTCGGTAAAGATTTGAAGGTGAAATGGAAACGTCAACTAAATCTGAGTGCGTTGGAGTGTCTTGCAGCAGGCCGTAGATGTATCTGTGCATCGGCTTAACAGCATGCCTTGCAATGGGGATGTTAAAATCTCACTTAATAGATGAATAACTCATAGCCATGGTGAAGAACAGACAAACAATAAACGGTGAAGTAAGTGAACCTGATTGAAAATAAGACACAACCGCGAAAGAAGAGAGTCGAAGAATTGACTCCTGATTCAGTACTTCACATTTGACTGATAAGAGATCAAGAAAATGAATTATAACTACATTAAGCATAGACATTTCAAGGAACATTTACCTTGAGTGAAATTTAAGTCTAAAACAAACGTAGGCTAGACAGCAAGTAGTTAATTTTTAAGCCCGTAGTCGCATTATGTGTAACGCTCGTTTTATATTCATCCTAAAAATGGCGCAAAATATACTACAAAAAGATAAATGCGTTAGCAAATGACTCGGCACCAAGCTTTAAGTTGGTTTACTTAGAGCTCACGTTCTTGTAAAATCACTGTTATTTTCAGTGTGTCAATTCAAAAGATCTATAAACCAAACAGTCCGATATGCTTGAATGCGGGCGAGTTTTTGTAAAAGTCCAACCGACTTTTAAGAATTTGCTGGTAGTTGTAATGCAAAGTTTTATAAAGGATTTAATTTACAATACTAACATTATATACAATACTAACATTTTTACAGCAAGTGGGCCCAAGTAGATTAGAAAATGTTGAAAGTTTTCTTTTCAAGAAAGACTTCTTTGAAAATATTAAGTTTTGTTCTAAGACGTAAAAGAAAGCTGTCAAAATCCAACTTGTTATTTCGTACGCTGGTGCTAGAAAAACGATATTTTGCAAGAAGGAGAGCGTAGTTGAGTACTTGCTCATTACGTGATTTTTCGTACCAGCCGTACAAAATTATGCATTCATTGAGAATTAAGTTTTGTTTAAATTTTTGATACTACCAATCGGTGAACCGACCCCAGAGCATGGCAGGGGGCAGCTGTAAAGCATGTAAATTTTGGTTAGCTTTTCAGTGTTACACAGAGGACAAGTTTCATCATTAGCTTTACCTGCACGGGTCAGGCTGAGTTGATTAGGAAGGATATGAATTACTTTGTATTGAAACGTGACTATCTTTGTATCCCTAGTTGTTGTAAAAGGAAGTACATATACNTGATTTACTTAGAGCTCACGTTCTTGTAAAATCACTGTTATTTTCAGTGAGTCAATTCAAAAGATCTATAAATCAAACAGTCCAGTATGCGTGAATGCGGGCGAGTTTTTGTAAAGGTCCAACCTACTTTTAAGAATTTGCTGGTAGTTGTAATGCGTAGTTTTATAAAGGATTTAATTTACAATACTAACATTATATACAATACTAACATTTTTACAGCCCAAGTAGAGTGGAAAATGTCGAAAGTTTTCTTTTCAAGAGAGACTTCTTTGAAAATATTAAGTTTCGTTCTAAGACGTAAAAGAAAGCTGTCAAAATCCAACTTGTTATTTCGTACGCTAGTGCTGGAAAAACGATATTTTGCAAGGAGAGCGTAGTTAAGTACTAGCTCATTACGTGAGTTTTCGTGCCAGCCGTACAAAATTATGCATTCATTGAGAATTAAGTTTTGTTTAAATTTTTGATACCACCAATCGGTGAACCGACCCGAGAACATGGCAGTCAGTTCTGGGCAGCTGTAAAGCATGTAAATTTTGGTTAGCTTTTCAGTGTTACACAGGACAAGTTTCATTTTACCTGCACGGGTCAGGCTGAGTTGATTAGGATGGATATTATGAATTACTTTGTACTGAAACGTGATTATCTTTGTATACCTAGTTGTTGTAAAAGGAAGTACATATACATTTTGAATATTTTCTTTCGTGAACCTGTATTTAAAAATCTTATTTTCGCAAGTTGGAGAGGTAACCATCTTACTTAGACAAGCGGAATAGGTGGTGCGGGTAGTCAGCGGTGTGATAGAACATACGGTCTTTTCAACGGTGTTATTTAAGGTGGCTGAACACAGTTTTTGATACCTGTGTTTCATTCACCTTTTTCTCTAAAACCCTTGATCTCACAGTCGTCAAAAATGGCAGCAAGGAAGTTAACAACACAAACTTTGGTTTTTTGATGGTTAAGCTGATGTATGTGCCGTTGCCATGGCAACATAAATAAAAATAAAC